TCACATACCAGTCCCTTGCTCATTACTCTGTAATAACTTTTTGCTTCTTTCCAAGCAACCTTGCAGTTAGGTAATAGGAGCTTTATGACATCACAGGGAAGCCTCCTGGGTTACTGTGTATGACTTCACTTTCTTCACAATATGCTAAGCCAGCCTTGCAGCTCTGGGGGCAGGGGAGAGGGGAATTTGCCCGGACTGCTCCTTTGGCAGAGAGGGCCTGCACTTCCACCCTGATGTCAGGGCTGCCTCCAATTCCTGGCACAATTCCTAAAAGAAAGCAACTAAATGCTACTAGTAGTACTATTTAGTGCTAAATACTAGTACTAGTATTATTGAGTACTACTACTAGTAGTAGTATTTAGTACTAGTAGTATTTAGTAGCACTACCACTACTAGTACTAGTAGTGGTGACTACTAAATACTACTAAAAAAGTACAAAGCCAACTATGTCTCTCCTCCTTCCACTTCATGTCTCAAACGCTATTCCTTTTCCCTCATGTTATGTCATGTTGGTCTGTAAGCCTAAAGATGAGGACTGCCTACTTTTACTCACTATTTGGAGCCTTTTTGGCTGAGGAATGGAGTGAAAATGCTCTAAATAGTAAAGGTAATAAGAGTTTTAACTTTTTAAAAAGAAAGTCATTTAACAAATACAGTTGCCTTCACTTTTCTCACATATATGGGGGAAGGGGGAGGGGGAGGGGGAGGGGGAGGAGGGAGAAAGAGATGCTGTTGCATGGGCAAAACCATCCATTCACAAGCAAAAAAAAAAAGAACCATTTCCCAAGAAGGCCATAACCTAGTTCGGCCTCCTGCTCTCTGAACAGGGGCACATTCTTTCCAAGAGTCCATGGAACAACATAGTACATGTGAATGTTCCAGGAGGAAAGCAGAATTAACACAACAGCTGCGCCCCGGCAGTCGACGCCGGAGAAGAACTGTTGCGCCTCAGCCTACGCCGCGTAGACCGCACCGCTCCGCGCCACGCCGCCCACCATTCCACCACCCACCTGGCTGCCCTGCCACGCCCCTCCACGTGTTCGAGGCGTGCCGGCCGAGGCGGGGCGTCGGGAGCCCAGCGGCTTGAAAGCCCACAGGGGGAGCCCAGCGGGAGCAACAACTGCGCCCCGGCAGTCGATGCCAGAGAAGAACTGCTGCGCCTCAGCCTATGCCGCGTAGACCGCGCCGCTCCACGCCGCTCCACCCGCCATTCCACCACCCACCTGGCTGCCCTGCCACGCCCCTCCACGCGTTCGAGGCGTCGGGAGCCCAGCGGCTTGAAAGCACCGGCGGCCTCAGGCCGGCGGCCGAAGGGCGTCGGCCAAAGGGCGTCGGCCAAAGGGCGGTCGCCGCCATTTGGGGGGGCCGTTCAGGGGGGCCGAGTGGGGGGCTGGGCTGGCCAGGGGACTTTCACTCTCGTTGTGTTAGGCCCTCCTGCTGAGCGCTGAATTTTTTAAATGTTTTTATAATTTTATAGTTTTATATTGTTTTATGGAGTCGTCCCTGGCCATGCTGCCGTTTGCATTTCCTGGGGAGCGCACAGGCGCGGCCATTGGGGTGGTGATGGGCAGAGGACGTAACAGCGGTGGGAGCTTAACGTGTCCGCATAGAAGAAGGAGGGACAGATGGCTGACACCTGTCCCTACTTCTGGTTTTGCTCCTAGCCAGAGGGTGCCAGGGAGTCTTGTCAGTCACCCCTCGGGCCTGACGGTGCTATTGCTTAATGCCAGGTCGGTCAATAACAAATCTGCCCTCATCCATGACTTGATTGTGGATGAGGGGGCCGACCTGGCTTGCATAACGGAGACCTGGGGGGGAGGGGGGGGGATGTCGCCCTCTCTCAAATGTGCCCGCCCGGGTATCTGGTCCAGCACCGTTCACGGCCGGAGGGGAGGGGAGGGGGGGTTGCTTTAGTTTACCGAGCCTCCATCTCCCTCACAGGACTTCCTGTCCCTTCGAAACCAGGGCTGGAGTGTCTCTACTTGGTGTTGGGCGACCGAGACAGATTGGGGATTCTGTTGGTGTACCGAGCACCCTTCTGCCCAACAGTCTCCCTACCTGAGCTGACGGAGACGGTCTCAGACCTGGTGTTGAGGACCCCCAGGATGTTGGTCCTGGGAGACTTCAATCTCCATGCCAAGGCTAGTCTGACCGGGGCGGCTCAGGACTTCATGGCCTCCATGACGGCCATGGGGCTGTCTCAACATGTCACCGGCCCAACCCATGAACGTGGACACACTCTGGACCTGGTTTTCTCGACGGGGCAGGAGGAGGGTGGTCTGAGGGTGACGAATTTATGCTTGATTCCCCTGTCATGGTCAGATCACTTCCTGGTGAGGTTTGTGCTCGAGAGTGACCTCTCCCTCTGCAAGGGTGCGGACCCGATTGTGTGGGTCTGCCCCCAGAGCCGGATGGATCCGGAAGGATTCCTGAAGGCTCTGGGGGAGTTTCTGGCAAGACGGGTGCTCCTGTCGAGGCTCTGGTCGAACTGTGGAACGGGGAGATGACCAGGGCTGTAGACACAATCGCTCCTAAGCGCCCTCTCCCACCAGGCAGAGCCCGCTCTTCCCCTTGGTATACTCCTGAACTGAGGGCGATGAAGCAGGTTGGGAGACGGCTAGAGCGTAGGTGGAGGAAATCACGGGATGAATCTGACCGAACACACTTAAGAGCCCACTATCGGGCCTATGCTGTGGCGGTGAGGGTGGCGAAAAAGAGATTTTTTTCCACTTCCATTGCCTCCTCACAATGCCATCCGGCGGAGCTCTTTTGAGTGGTGCAAGGCCTGGTCCGTCCAGGTCCGAAAGAAGATCTGATTCCACCCTCAAAGGCCCGCTGTGACGACTTTGCCAGGCATTTCAGGGAGAAAATCGCTCAGATTCGTCACGAGCTGGATTCCACTATTGAATCAGAGGTCGTAAGGGAGACACTGATGCTACCGTCTGGTCCAGAATTATTGGATGAATTTCAGTTACTGCGGCCCGATGATGTGGACAAGGTGCTTGGACGAGTACGTCCCACCACTTGCCTTTTGGACCCTTGCCCATCTTGGTTAATAAAGGATTCCAAGCACGGGATTGGAACCTGGATCTTGGAAGTGGTTAACGCTTCTCTGAGGGAGGGTCGGGTGCCTGCCCCTTTAAAGGAGGCGGTAGTCCGACCAGTCCTGAAGAAGGCGTCACTGGATCCAGAGATGGCCACTAATTATAGGCCAGTGGCCAACATCCCGTTTCTGGGCAAGGTGTTAGAGCGAGTGGTGGCGGGACAACTCCAAGCACTCTTGGATGAAACTGATTATCTGGACCCATTTCAGTCCGGCTTCAGACCCGGGTACGGTACTGAATCTGCCTTGGTCGCCCTGTACAATGACCTGTGCAGGGAGAAGGACAGGGGGAGTGCGTCCCTGTTGGTTCTCCTGGACCTCTCGGCGGCTTTCGATACCATCAACCATGGTAATCCTTCTGGATAGGCTTGCGGGATTGGGAGTCGGAGGCACTGCTTTGCAGTGGTTCCGCTCCTATCTCAATGGCCGATTCCAGAAGGTGGTGCTGGGGGACTATGGCTCTGCGCCATGGCAGCTATGCCATGGAGTACCGCAGGGGTCCATTTTGTCCCCCTTGCTGTTTAACATCTACATGAAACCGCTGGGAGAGGTCATCAGGAGGTGTGGGCTGCGGAATCACCAGTACGCTGACGATACCCAGCTCTACCTCTCGTTTTCCACCAATCCAGGTGAGGCAGTGGCTGTACTGAACCGGTGCCTGGCCGAGGTAATGGGCTGGATGAGGGCCGATAAACTGAAGCTCAATCCAGACAAGACGGAAGTCCTGTTGGTAGGCGGTTCAGGCTTCGGAGAAGGTGAATTGAACCTTGTCCTGAACGGGATTGCACTCTCTCCTAGGGATAAGGTCCGCAGCTTGGGAGTGCTCCTCAACCCGGAGCTTTCACTCGAAGCTCAGGTAACAGCAGCAGCGAGGAGCGCTTTCCTCCAGCTTCGGCTGCTTCATCAGCTGCGCCCCTATCTGGAGTACGACTGCCTTGCAACAGTGACTCATGCACTGGTGACTTCCCGTCTTGACTTCTGTAACGCGCTCTACGTGGGGCTACCCTTGAAGACGGTCCGGATACTTCAATTGGTTCAAAATAGAGCTGCCAGGCTGCTGACGGGAACTGGACGTTATGTTCACATGACTCCAGTTCTCCGGCAGCTTCACTGGCTTCCCATTGAAGTCCGGGCCCAATTCAAGGTGTTGGTGATGACCTACAAAGCCCTAAACGGCTTGGGTCCTGGTTACCTGAAGGAGTGCTTACGTCCATATATGCCCAGCCGCCCCCTGAGATCAGCGGGAGAGGCCCTCCTCTGGGAGCCCTCAGTGAAGGAAATTAGGAGGGTGGTTACTCGGAGGAGGGCTTTCTCAGCGGTGGCGCCTAAGTTATGGAATGCGCTCCCCAGAGAGGTCCGCCTGGCGCCGTCGTTATTTGTTTTTCGGCACCAGGAGAAGACCTTTTTATTTCAGCAGCATTTTAAATGTTAATAGTATTGAATTTTATTTGGCCAGGGCGGCTTATTTTATTCTACTGTATATATTTTAATTGTTATTGTTTTAATTTATTGTGTATTTTATTTGATGTTGTGAGCTGCCCCGAGGCTCGGCAAGGGGCGGCATAGAACTGTTTTAATAAATAAATAAATAAATAAATAAATAATGTGTCTACTTACAAGCAGTGATTCACACTGAGTCCATGATGCCTAGTTTCTTCCAAGCATGATTTCACACATCATAAAATGGATGTGTGTAAAATAATTTCTTCAATTCCATATTTTCAATAGAATTGGAAAATGGAATTTTCAGTTCCAGTGTCTATAACTTTATTTCTTCAATTCCATATTTTAGACATTTTTTCTGAACTTACATGAAATATCACACAAACTATCTGAAAAAAAGTTCTCCTTGTTTCATATTATACTTCCATAACACATTTTTCTTGTCCTAAACTACCTGAATGATGAGGGGTTCCAGCAACTTTTCCACAGTACGTGTCTGAATCTGCAGATTCTGTGGATCAATTTTCATGTGTGGAACTGCTGCCGCCATTTTATCTGTGAGCAAAAGGACAATAATGTATTATAACAGAGTTTTACAGAGCCAAAGATGTGGGCTTTCTCTGGGTAGTTTATAGGCTAAAGTGGAATTGAAAAGACAAGGCAGCAAAGAGAAATCCCCCCAAAATAATTGTCTATCAAAGTTCTGCATATATGCAACTGAAGGGTGATTGGCTTTATCTCCTTCTCGCAGCTGCTGTTGTTTTATGAAAGTGAAGCCTAATAGAAAACCACTCTACCTCCCACCAGAACAGTACTGCAAGATTAGCACACACTGGAATATGTACCTTGCTAAAACACAGCATATAAAAACGTTGTGGTATAACTGGTTTGAAGAAATCCGAGGCAAGATGGCAGAAATAGCACCAGGGTGAGTGTGATGCGACAGACATTACGATGCTCGTCAAATTGCCTATTATTATATTACATTTAAAACCCCCCTTTCTTCCTCTTGCAAGGAACCCAAGGTTCTCCTCTCTGTTTTATCCTCACAACAGTTACCCTGTGAAGTAGGTTGGGCTGAGAGTCTGTGACTGGCCCAAAGTCACCCAGTGAGCTCCATGGCTGAGTAGGGGCTGGAACCCAGATGGCCTGAGTTCCAGTTCTGCACTCTTAACCACTACACCAGACTGACTATCACAAAGATCTCATCCTTGCCATCTTCCATTTGTAAGTATCCCATGTTTTCCAACTGATTCATCCCCTTTTTTTACTGCAAAACATTTGTTAAGGAGGAAAATAAACATACCTGTATAATGCCTTTTACAGGTAGGGCTAGGAGCCATCTATCTGGAAGCACTTAGATCTTTTTAGCTTTGCTGAAATGTTACTTTTGCAGAAAAGTGGAATTATAACTGCAGGACCACACCATGCCTAATAAAGGTTTTTTTAATCTTCATTGCAGTTTTGCAGTGCTGCATACTTAGTTGCAACAATATCACTTTAGCAAGTAACTATTATTTCTGCTTATCAAGTACAACAAAATTACCATCATCAAGCAATTGAGTCATCTTGTGCAGAAAAATGCTACTCTCACAGGTAATACCATAATATATGAACACAAATTATGGGCTCTCTGGAAACCTCAATGAAATTTGGAATAAAAAACCCTGCTCATCAACAAAATCTTCATTGCCAGATTTTCAGATATAAGCCTTTAATTTTCCTTCACTTCCCCTTCCTTATAATTCATATTGTGGTTCTGGAAACTATTAGTCCTTCCTTGTACCAGTGATTTACATTTGCCCCATCTAAATTTGGCAGTGTCAGTTCTTCTCGGTTAATTAAAAATGGCACTTCCTTTCTATATTTTGAGATATGATTTTTTTTAGAACATTTCTTGTCATGTAGTCCAGGAAATGGGCTCACATGGGCTAGAACCCTGTATTGTCAGACAAATGTTCAACCATTATACTTTGTAGGCAGGTAACATCAATGGGTTACTACAAGAGAAGGATTTATTTCATTCCCCTACTCAACAACTTATTTTGCATACACTCATACAAGGAGTTATTTCTTGCATACAGACTTTATGGTATGCAGTTGGCTGCACTTCAAACTACACCCAGTAAATCAATCATGAGGCCACCATACAAAATGCAGTTATTTTGGTAGTCTGGCCCTAAAAAGACTTATGTCAGATTGTTGCGAAAGGTTTTAATATAGAAATTCTCAACATGCCTATCAGGAAGCAAGTGTCACTGGACTCAGTGCACATTTTTAATCCAGATTTTGATGCACACTTTGATGTCCCACTTTGGAACATCCATTAGTCCGTTGCCACAGCCAAATATTAGCAATAAAATAAAAAAATGTGGGCATCTTTCTTAATAAGTGAACAACTCAATCCAGTAATTCAATTTTGTGGAGCCCAGTTTATATGATCAGTGCCTCAAGGAGATTTCTGCCTCATGAACATGCAGAAAACGAGGTGGTAATGGACATGCATTGTGGTGTGGGGGTTGCAATGACGGATTGGGATTCAGGACACCCAGATTCTAATCCCCACTTGGTCATGAAGCTCTTGGGGTGACTTGGGGCCAGTCACAGACTCCCAGCCTAATTTTCCTCCAAGTTGTTCTGAGGATTAAATGGAGAGGACAAAGACCGTTTGCATCATGGAATAGAGTTGGAAGGGTCCAGAGGAACATCAAGTCCAACCCCCTGGTCAGTGCAGGACTCCGAGCTGCACCATCCCTCTCAGAAGGCAGTCCAGTTGCATCTTGAATGTCTCCAGTGTGGGAAAGACAACCTACCTAGATAAGTGGTTCCACTGCCATACTGCTCTAACAGTCAGGACTTTTTTCCTGATACCTAGCCAGTACCTAACTTTCTGTAACTTGGGCTCTTTAGATAAAAAGCAGGATATAAGTGTAACAAACAGAAACGTAGCTTTAAATGCATTCTAAAGTCATAATAAGAAGTTCATATGCTGTTGCACAATAAGAAACTAAAGACACGCAACGGGTATTATGTTTCTGTCCTTAATAGAAACCTCAAAAGGGATACATTGAATGGAATGCGTGCCCAGGTAAGCATGCATAGAATTGTGACTGTGTTGTCCGTATCATCCCATTAGTTCTTGCAAAGTCTAAATTCTTTGGAACTCTAGCTCTCCAGAGCTAGAGCGTATTGTACAAAATTCAATTATTTGCAGCTATATTCCAATTTCATTATTCATTTTGATTGCAGGGTTTGACTTTTCTTGGTAAAAGAACAGGTAGCACAGTAAGAACATATTTTTGTATCCATTCAAGATGGGTAGATTGTTATTAGGTGCTGTCATTGCTAACAACTCCTTCTCTTACTGGAACTAGATGAAACTGCTTTCACACATACAATAATTTAGCACAAACAACACAATAAGCCACTTGGGATTTTTTGCTATCCCATAAACGAATGATCGACATTGGCATTTCAGAAGTTAAAGCTTTTCGGAATTTGATCAGGTGTACCTTGCTCAAGCTCTAAGAGTACCAATCCCTCAAGTATTAATGCAGTATATGTTGCTCCCTGGTTTTTTAATTAAAAAAACCCTAAACTGCTAATCTCTTTCAGTCCCAGAACTCGATGAACTGTAATTTGTGACAACAGATGTTTTAAAAGGCGCTAATACCATATCACTCACCTATTTCAGAATGCAAGCAGTCGTCATTCAAGGACTGAGCCAATGCCTAGGCAAGGGTCCTTCCAGAGTTTGGAAGTTCAGTACAGTTATTATAGCTCGCTACTTGGCTTATCATACATCTGCAAACAGAGAGCCTGACAAGCACTCTAGTGTATTTCAGGGTAAGTGACAGGACTTAGTCGCTGCTGGACAGGGGGATGGGTAATCCTTAAAGCTATACCGACCAATAGAAAACTCTTGTGGGAATAATTCAAAAGTAATAATGCAGGACCTTATTTTTCTAGGCTATATGGAGCACCCAGATGAAACATACCAGGACGAAAGATGCCTTGCTGTGCCAGGAAAAACACGATCTATGTCTCCAGATTATGGGTTTTTCCCTTTATGCACTCCTACAATTTGGTCCTATGCCAGACTCAGCCTCAAAGCAATGACTCAGAATCTCAAAGAGGACAGCAAAGGGATTCATAAGGTCCTCACCCACTGCTTTCAGATGGCAATATTGTTGGGGTTTTTTTCTCTTTCTGTGTTATGCAGCCTCCTGTGGGATGCTCTATCTGACTCATAAAATGGGTTTTGTTTTCCACCCTCTTATAAAAGCAAGTGGTAAGCAACCTTAATCTCACGCCAAGTTCACCAAAGAAACTGTTACAGAATCTTCTTTCATTACCCCTCTCGTTAGCACATACCTGGAGCAGTCAGCCTACTCACCTGGCCCTTATAGCTTCCATGTAGCCTGAAGTGCCTGATCCTGCCTAATCTTGGAAGCTAAGCAGGGTCAGGCCTGGGCAGAAGTGGGATGGGTGACCTGAGTGTATGATTCTATGATTATTGCTGTCAACTGCCTAGAGAGCTTTGGCTATGGGCAGTATAAAAATATAATAATAATAATAGTTAACGGAATGGGTGTGCATAGTCTTTAACTTAGGTATGGAAAGAGGTGTTTGTTTGAGTTAAATCTCCAGCCAAAGCCAGCAGAAGTTGCTGCACACAGTTGCTTCTTTTCACTCCTGCAAGCAGAAGAGGTTTCTCAGAGCAGGTGCTGGAATCTCCTGGAAAGGGATCTCAAGTGATCGTACACAAAACAAATGGAAACTACCAAGTCACTCCTCAGTGCAATGCAGTGCAAGGGCATCCTAGCAGGGATGTGCTTTATTGTCATGGTTAGTCCTTCGTCTTACCTTTTGTCACAGGCATCATTGTGATTTGGTGTCAACACAACACTAGGGGTAATATTTGATAGTCTCTTGCCTACCACCGAGTTGTTGCATAAACACAAATCACATTTTACACGAGCCACAAAAATGGTGCCTGTCTTTTTAAATCAGTTCTCGCTGGTGTGTGAGAAGAGGCTAAGAATGTAAAAGACTTGCTATCTCTTAGATTATTTTTTTAACATTTTTTCTTGGAATGGAAAATATGGCATGATTTCCAATAATAACAACATGGCTATTGTAAAATAGTCTACATAAAATAATATAGCTCTGCCAAGCTTAATGAAGCTAGTACAATTTAAAGCAATTGCAGATCTGTTTTAATTAAAGCTAACATAATTAGCATGATGTTCTCCTCCGTTAACTGTTGACCCCAAAGGTTATAGTTTCCTACTTCTTAAAAACTACGCTTGTGTTGCCACAGTTCCTCAAAACATAATACATGAATTTATGGGTTTCTAAACAGATTTTCACAGCCTCTGGGGAAGGCAATTTTGTGAGCCAGGCTCTTCCCTTCTGGCCCTCATGCTCCAAAACAACAGTCTCCTTGCAATGGAAATCTTTGTAGGCACTTCCCAGCTACAAGACAAGGGGACTCTAAAAGCACTCTGGTAAACTGATAGATAAGCATCTGCTCATATAAAGAAGGCTGAACCCAAACTCATCTCCCCAAAATCATCCCCTTTCAGTAACACTGTGGGCTCCACCCTCAGGGTGGCTCCCACTGGTCAAGCGGGAGCTGGTGAGACAGACACGAGCCTTCTAACTGGGCAGCTCATCTCTTCTGATGCCTTGTCCTGGGATCAGGGACTTGGCAAGGCAACAGCTCTCTCTCATCCCCTTCTCACACTCCTCTTGTCCCTTCTTAATCAACTCTGCTCTCCTGGTTAGCCTAGGAGCCTCTATAAAGAGACCCTGAGGGCACTTCAAAGGCCTCTGCCTCTCCCTGAATTTCCAAAACTCTCATTGCCAAGTCTTCAAAGTCATCTTCTTCAAAATCGAGGTCATGAAACTCTGAAATGCTCCCAAGTTGGGTTCACTCACTACAGGAACCCTTGATGAACTTCCTCCATCTGTCTACCATTGCCACAAAATGATACTGAACCTCATGCTATCGTATTTATTGTTTGCTTGCCAGCAATGAGCAATGGCACCTGTGCTCCTCCTCGTTCCAGTTATTGTCTGGGCCAAGCTGAGAGGCAGGTGAATAAACAGGTTGCAGTGGGAAAAAGGAAGAGCAATTCCAGGGGGTTCCTGGCAGAGGAGCCCTGTAAGGCATGCACCTTCTCTCCTTGATCTAAGCCCTATTTCCAAATAGAGTATTTGAGACTGCTTACAAGCTTGATGAAAAACTATCACTCTTTTGATTCTGAACTGAGTTTTTTTTAAGATTTTTTACATCCTAGGTCTGTATCTGTACTAACCCATGCTCCTTTTGAGCATCAGCAGGTGTCAGGAGTTGTGACACTTAGCCCTAGATTGCCTTTTCTATCTCTTCGGTCTTCTGGAACTGGAACTCATTGGTTCTGCCCCATCAGTGCGATTTGCAGAGAACTGTCTCCCAGCTCCTTTACAGCTATTGTTGCCATTTGAAAATTGGTTTCATTCTGCCCTTTAATTTTTTTCTTGTAAGGTAAAATTTATAATTCCTTTCTATTTCCTCATATATACCATGTTCTAAAGCCATTTTCATTTCAGTTACCAAGTAAATCCTTGCCAAATTGTTTGCAACATACATATTGTAGTTCTCAAAACTAGTCATAATACAGCAGCTGAGGGATAATCAGTGCCAGGTGGAACAGAACTATTATTTCAGGTTTTAGTGAATTACTTGATGATCACAGTTATTTCTCTGTGCAGAATGGCTAAAATAATAAACTATTCTGTGGGGATGTAATGGGTTTATATGGGATAGCAAATGTCAACAGAGTTCCTACAAGTGCAATTTGTCATATAGGGCAAAGCAGGCCTAAATTATTTCTCGCAAGTAGATCTGTTTGGACTCTGCCTCTGATACTGGGAATAGTATACAGCCATCATGAAAACTAATAGTCTTATCTTCCATAAACTTGTTTAATCCTACTTTAAATTTGCCTATGCAAGTAGCATCACCACTTCTTGCAGCACTGATGTTCATAAACTGACAATGCATTCTGTGTGAAGTTTTTTCAGATCAGGAAATTGAAAGTCATGCCCTTATAACCCAAGAGTGAAGGAGGAAAAAATGCATATGTTAGGTCTAGACAATATCAGAATTGCAGTACCTTTAAGAGGAAAACCATGATAAAATCCACTTCTATCACTAGTCACTCTATTTTAGAAAAAAGCCACATTGGCAACCTTAGTTAATACTAAATCTCCTCTTCTCCTTAGTACTGTTGGCTTAAAGTATTTAACCCTGTCTTCCCATCCATGAGGCAGTTTAACAGCAGTATCAAAACAATAGACAGAATGTAATTAAACAACAAATAACAACAGAAGCAAAACAAAACTGCATAAAAGCAATAGAACAAAATTATAAAGGCCAGTAATGAATGACCTGTCCTTCATATGTCCCCAGAAATGACAATAGTTTAAGAATTAGACATGGCCCTGCTTCAGCCACCATACTGAATGGTTACATGAAACATGGACTCGGAGCAGGATCTCACTGGATAGGCTCATATTAGAAAAAGCTGCCATTGAGACATTCTGCTCCAGGGCCAACAATTGCTTTAGGGTTTCAGTCCAAACCAGATGCCCATAATGCTCCAAACTTGTAGTGTTACAGATATCCTATGCAGGGTAGAAGAAACATGGAAGCAAAGGTCACTTCTGTGCTCCTCTTGTCCTGCAAAACACTTAGCCAGCCAATTGTGGCCATTTAAGTGGCATACCTTAGAGCACAAGGAAAGGAGATTGAGGCATTATCCAGATACTTCATATTATGGTCTATCTACCCTGGTCCATGCCAGCTATGAAGAGGGAAAGGTTCTCCGAGCTCAAAGACTCCACTGCAAGGTGGAACACTGGTCTAGCCTCAGAACCGGGTCTCCAAAAATCCCTGTCACTGTCTGACTAGCTGGCTGTACAAGACCAAGACTACAACCTAAACTGGATCTAGATATAGGGTGGCTTCCTCCTCGTGACCCTGCCCCAGTGTAAAGAAGGAAATAGGTCACCAATACAATACCAAAAAAGCATAGATTTGCATATTCTAATTATACGTGCAGATGCAAATTCAGTAATGATTGTTATAATTTAACCAGAAGCACAGTGCGCCTCACCACAGTTAGGGAAGGCTGTGTCCTGGATGCCTTCTCCACCTGTTGTCCGGCTGCTAACAGTTGCGGGGCAGCTTCAAAACCCCCAGTCTCTCTACTTATATTGCTTTCTTTCTAAGCCGGACTTGGAGTGAATGGTAGGACAGTCCTTAACTGTAGGACAGCTCCAAATAGTAGACTGTCCTCTGTCAGACTGGGTACCGTCTTCCGTAAAGTGGCAAAAAACTGAACTACTAACTAATACTATTAGATGTTCCGAAAATGTCTTCATTAAAAATCCAGCTGTTGTTTTCTGAAGCAGTCCTTTCCAAACCCCTTTAAATGGCAGTCTGAGAGTGCACATTGTTCTGTCTGGATGTCACCAGGGATAAGAGAAGACCAACGATTCTCAGTTTCTTCATTCTTACCCTAAAAAAACCAAAGGGCAGTGATAGATTTGAAATTCAGCCCATGAGTGTAAAGCCTTTATGTACACAGGTGTGTTTACATTGCAAGTCCACAAAATTCCTCACACCTTTGGACAATGCACACAAACTCAGAATGGGAGGAAATGGGACCACACGCCAGTTTCATTGGTTTCTGGGAGCATTCTGATTCTACCTCCTCCTTTGCTGTAACTGCCACTTTGAGCAGTTACTGGCCAATGTGGGAAAATGAGACTGAGATACAGAGATGTGTTACAGCCATTCTTGGGCCATGGAGCTAGGACAAGGTAATGCTGGAACTGCTGGCCTTGGGCTGAGCTGAGATGGATCTAGAATATGGTTGAAGTAAAAATGCACATTGCAACTGTACAGTAGCTGAGATGATTACAGACAGTACTGCTGGACTGAGAGTTTCTTTAGAGTTTACTTTACTGGGAAATGCTTTAGGGTTTACTAGGAGATACTTTAGAGTTATGAAGCAAAGAGGTACACACATGTGGATTATTTCTATGCCCTGAAAAAGGCTAAAAGCCCCAGAAAAGCAGTACATTATTTCGTTAAGGGACTTATCTCTTTCCATCCAGAATTATTCTTATGTATCTTCATCTAGTACAGCCAGCCAAATGCATTTCAGGATCCAGTAGGCCCTGTTACAAGAGGGAATTTCTCCCCAGATGTTTTATGTGTGAATACACAGTTAGCTTTAAAATCTTTATCTCCCTTACCAAAGCAGATCAGGCAGCTAGCTATTTAATACAAAAGAGGCTGATCTGCAAAAGACCACAAGGATGATTGCAGAAATAGTACAAATTTTATAGGTCACCAATTTTATAAGGCTTTATTGTTGACACAGGCAGAAATTAGAAGGGGCAGTTTTTCTAGATGTATGATGACATGAGGAGGAAAGTTGTGCTTACTAAATTTCTGCTTGACAAGCAGCTGGTAAGACAGAGAAGCCCAACCAGGAAAAGGAAAAAACAGTAACTCCGCGCATTTACAAGGTATGGCAAATGGGAATTTTCTTCAGTTTTAACTAGGGTTGTTCATTTCTTTTTTAGCAATCTCTTCTCCTGTGTTTTTTTAAACAGCAACATGATCATGAGGCATTAGTTCATGATAATGCTTGTCTCCATGCCACAAGAAGTTTCATCTGCTAATTCCTACATAATCACCCTATGGTTAAAGCACATAGGCATGCCAGACTGGCCCTTCCCCACAGGCAAGCCTAATTTAAACACAACCACACATTTAGACCAGCCAAGGAGTATTTAGTCTCTCTATTCAGAGTATCAGTAAGACAGGAACATAAGATGTTTTTCTATGGTGCCTCACTTCTTGTTATCCCCTGAATGCTCACAGAAACTGTTAAGGGTGGATCTTTCACTGTCTTGCAGTATCTGTGTCTCAGTGAAAATGAAGCATTGAGCCTTTCTTTCTCCCCTGGAAAAAGGATGCATAAGATCAGCTACAAATATGATAGTAAGGGTTACATTACTTGCAACTGCATACCTTGTGCAGAAGTTCTGAGACAGCTACTCCCAGTAAGAAGCGTGCTCTAGTAAAAGATTAAATTCTCTCAGGTAATGGCTTTTATGGAAAAAAGAATTCAGGGAAATAAATGATACAATAAAATGGAATGAGTCTAGTTATAGGGGAAGGTTTAAGTGGGAGATAAATGATAGGAACTGAGCGGGTGCCCATCTATTTGCAAGAAATTGTAAGAACAAAGGCTGCAATTCCAAGCATATTTATTAGTAAGTCATTTCTGTTGAACTCAATGGGTTTTGCCTAAGTGTGAACTTATGTAGGTCCAAGCTGCAGTAGATGTGTATGTGCTTGTCCTGGACTTAATTGTTAAAGCAAACTTTGATGGCATTTTCATTTCACAGCAACAGAAGCAGCAGCACCTTTGGCAGGTGCAGTCTGTCATGTAGGGAGAAGAAAACCTGCACCTGCTGAAATTCCTCTTCTACATATCTGCTAAAGGTATAAAAATCAGATTCCTTCCTGGCCTCTCACCTATCCATTCAGAAATACTTTCTTTCCTAGCATCCTTATTAAGATACATCTCCCCCCCCCCCCCGCTCCTCCCAGAACTGGAAAAAAAAATCTGACCTCAGCTGTTTTTTATTTATTAGATTTATATCCTGCCTTGTAGGTTAGTACTGTATGGCTAATATGCCTTAATGTTATTATAGTTCTACCTATTCAGTTCAGGCTGAATTTGGGTGTGTGGATTTTATGAGCCTCTACATATCAGATTTTCAGTATAGAAAGTCTGACTAAATAGTAGTACTATAACAAAACTCTCTGTTGATGTGAATGGTAAGAATGGTGCTCTAGACAAGCTTTTCAGACAGTACAGGTAGGACTAGACACACACACCTTGGAGTGGGGGCAGTGACTGTCCAGAAAGCAGCAACATCAGCATCTGGGTTGCAGTGAGTATATTAAGGTCCACACACACACACACACACACAATTGGAGGTAATCAATAATCAATATGCTTTATTTTCAATCAAATTACTTCTTCCTAAGTAAGTGTGTTTAGCATCAGAGCAGCAGAAGTGAACTTCACTTTCTTCTTGTGTGATACTAAGGTTTAATTGTTACTTTGTTTTAGCGGTGGGTTTATATTTTAACATTAGATGCTGGGCAATTGTTATTCTTATTTTTATTTTTTAGAAAAATTTGCTGTAAACCATCCCAAGATTATTAAGTATGGGATGGTATAGAAAAGTTTTAAATAAATAAATACATTTAGGTGAATTTAAAATATAAAACTGCCCATGTTTGGAGCATTCTTAAAAAAAAAAAATCAGGGTTGGCAAAAAGTTATTGGCAACAAGGTTTTTTCTATTTTTAGTAGAAACAGTTGCAAAGCATGGAATGGCAGTTTATTTGTGAAGAGAATAGAAATGTTAATATGTGCTTTATAAGTGAAATGTTAGTTGTGTATTTCATACGGCTGTCTAAAGCCTGCACTGCACCCCATAGGACCATTAAGGCCAGAGCATGACCTAGCTACACACTCTTTCCAGACTCAATTAAGCAAACCCATGCAGAGCTGCAAGGGAAGGAGGCCAGACTAGTAAAACTAGTACTGCACGATGCCCACAAGAGAGATGAACCAAGCAGAATACCAGAGAGACTAATAAAGAATGATTATAGTGTATCAGTGCTACACTTTTCTCAATTTAAGAAAAGGTCCTGAAGGCAAGAGATGGGCCAAGCCAGTTAAAACAGTTAAAGAACATGTCAGTAGGACAACCCACAATGAAGCATTCAGAATCCAGGTCAGAAGTCAAAACAATATAATCAGAAGGATATAAGCTGCCCCTGTACTGTTAATCACACAAATTACCCTGTAGGAAATGTGCTATGCATACTCCTTTGCGTCTTCAAAGTCAGAGCAGGTAGAATATATAAATGTAGAGCAACCTGGTGGGAATACAAAAGCATGCTATTAGGGTTAACCCCTTGGGCATGTCTTGCTCTGTAGTCCAACTCCATTTAGAACGTGGACAAGAAATTTAGTTTCCCTGAAGAATCTAATAGCACAATCTCCCAGTTAATACAGTGCATACACAATATGCAAAACTCTATGTCTTTGTTAGCAGATACCTTTGCTTCAGAAAATTCCATTGTCCAACTCCAAACAAGGAGCACCTGTTAACATATCATTAGTAGACTCATATCTATAAATGCAAAAGTGTAGTGTCACATCAATTTAGTGTACCTCCCTCACCTGCAGATGTGTTAGACTATAACTCCCAGTATCCCACAGTCAGCTGATTTGATCCTTTATTACAAGGCTTTCCTTCAAATGTAACCTATCCAAAAACCTTAACAAACTCTTAAGGCCAGGGGACAAAAGGCAAAAACTGTGTCATCACTAGGCTTGCCATAAAGAAACTGGGCAGGTGAAGCTTTCCTAGGCAGGAAACAGAAACCAATAAATGCAGCAGCTGCTTAGTATCTTCTGGATAGACTGGTGTTGAAAATAGAAATACAAAGGAGGGGGGAGGGACCTACCCTAATCATCAGCATCAAAGAACATTTAAATACACCTGCATAATAATCTAGGAGGATGAACTACCACTTAGTAAAGAAGTTACAGGAGCATTTCTTTTAAAATTACAGGAGAAAAAGAAAGCCCCAAAGGCACTTTTTTCTAACTCCAAGAAGAAACAGGCAGTTCTTTCAGATTCTTCACATCATAATTACTGGTTCAGTCCGCACCACTACACAGATGTTGCTAATTTATAATAATTTCCTATTTTCACCTTGTTTCTATTCTGAATTTCCTGTTTTTCCTTGAGTTTGATGCTGGATCTTTGAGTTTAAAGTGCCCTCTGCTGTCTAAAGTCCCCTGTTCAGGTAAGCAAATGATCAAATTACCTGTTTTAACAACTCAGTTTCTTGAGTTTATATAGCCCATAGAGAGGCCTGTGTTACCTTAAGCATCTGTGAACTCAGAAACATACTTTAAAAAAAACCCTCTGAAATCTCTGGCAACTGAAATGAAATTCTAAGTGTATGCATCCTGCCTTTTGTGGGATGAAGCAAGTAGGATCACTGCCTCTGCTCCCTTCCAACAAAACACAATTCCTGAAAGCAAGTGCAGCCTCTCTCCCATGCTGACTTTCCCAAGAGTAAATTGAAGGCCAGGTCAAGGGATTTACTTCTGAGGAAATGGCATTTTAAGACAATCTGATTTAATTTGGATCAAGCTCCATTGAAGATAATGTGATTACTTCTACATAGACATGGGTATGTTCCCAGCTAGTTGTTCATTTCAGGGACTGGAAGGTGGGCAGCAACATTACATTTATGGTCCAGATCAGTGCGCAAGCCAGAGAGGAAGGGGAAAGGCGTGGGGTGGGGTGGGGTGGGGTGGGGTTGGGAGGGCGACAGGAACGCAGGAAGGCAACTGAAGGTTGACTGGGCGTACCTCTTTCTCAGAGGGACTGCTGTTTCCCAGCCCATGAAAATCTCTCTTCATCCCCCTAGAACAGTGATGCAAGTGTAGAGGACACACTGCAATATATACCACAGCAAAAATGTAACCAATTCGGAATACTGTATAACGGCAGAATAGTACCAAGAGGATGATTTGGGTTGAGCATCATGTGACACACTATCCTAACAGGGATCCCTCCCCACAACAATAGAGAATTTTACTAAGATACTCAATTTACAGTTGTATAAAAGCATGTTTCTTAGAAGAACTCCAGTTTTCATCCCAAAGAATAAGAAACCCATACTCGTATAAAATATTTTTTCTTATCTAAAGGGTCTGTAATATGATGTGCAGTTCAGTTGCATCAGATGCCTGTTTAAGAAAAGCAATTGAGTTACTACTGCTATCACTAAATGGATTTGTCTTTTCTTTACCTAGTGTAAAAACCAAATAGAAGGCCCCTTTCCTTGATGCCTAGCAAGTGCCATTTGGAAGATAAACAGCAGCTAGTTTGGGTATTTCTATGAATAAGGATAAACTGGATTCTTCCATTTCTTCATTCAGAGATGTATATGTTCATTTGCAATTTTGAACCATTCTCCTGGAAGAAACTAATGTTTCTGGAGAAATGCTGCTGGGAAAAATTTGCATGTGCCAGCCCTACATTTTGCATAGCTCCTCCATATTTTTGAGGAAGTAAAACAACTAAATCACTTCTCCACAGGAAAGTGGTAGAGGTGGTGGAGAAATGGTACTGTAGTAGAGGAGAAAAGGTACTATGACTGTACCTGTTCCTCAAGGAAGTCTGTGTATACATGTACCAAAAGTAAGCAGAGGCACAAGCGTAAGAACAAGGACATACATAAACCAGTCTTCAAATATCACCTGTTGTAGTAACCCAAGTATATTTTAACATGCCAGTATTATTGGTGAGCCGAGCACTGATAGACTGACATTAAAAACTGGAATTAGGTGTGAGAAGATCATAGTTGTTCTAGTGTTGGATTGGGACTCTGAAGATCCCGGTTCTAGTCCCTACTCAGGTCATGACTCTTACTTTAGGCCAGTCACAGACCTTCAGCCTAACCTACTTCATAAGGCTGTTCTGCGGAGGAGGTGACCTATGTACCTTACAGGAGAAAGAAAGTGGGTTGTGAAGGTTATAATGTAAAATACAGTAATAAAAATTTTAAAAGGTACAGGTCAGGTTTGTGTATAAATAGAATCTGGTGCCATACTCCAGACTGGGGAAGAATTTTGGAATGAGGACTGTAGCAGGGTCCAGATTGTTTGTGTATTTTCCTCCAATTATTTCAGGGCCATGCTAGGGATAATGAGTAAGATCATTCTCGAGTTCTCCATTTTTTCCTGTTATTCCTGTATGCAGCAATGCCGCCACTGCTCTGCCCCAGATTGGATCAGTGATGGGTGGATGAGTTTACTTTGACCCCCCACTCTATTGCCTCAGCCAGAAGGCCCCCCCACAACACACACACACGCACACACACACACGTTTGTTCTGCTTGTTTGTTGATTTGTTCTACTATGGAAATTGCGCAGATGTGTACATCTTTCCAGCTGGTTGGACAGCAACTTTGGAAGGGGAGGGTGTTACACCTGAGAAAACATCACAGTGGGGAAAAGTTATAATTTCCCGACCCCAGAATTGCAGTTCCAATCCAGTCCACCCCACTTCCCCCAGCACTCTGATCAGGTCTCCCAGAAATTCCTGATTTCTTAAAAGCAGTCATGTGCTATAGTTCTTCTCTCCTAATCCCTGAGACACAGCACAAACAGGAGTTGTAATACTATTAAGATGAGATCACAAACAAGCAAGGGCTGTTAGTAAATGTTATTGACAGATAAATGGCATGGGCACTGGCCTTTTATGTTAAGCATAAATATGCTATTATTCATTTTTGTGAGTATTTGTACTCTGTTTTGATGGTCTACTGTTTTCTTAAATATTTCATAAAATAACTATTGTTTTGACAATTTTTAATACAGTTTTAATAACGGTTTGACTAATAATTCACTTTTTAAAATAATTTTAATTGTTCTGTGTATCAATTATGGAAAATTCTGTGGACCAAATAAACAAGCTGATTGATTCATTCATTCATTCATTCATTGAAATAGGAGTACAAGATCATTCATATGGAATTCATGAATAAAATAGGTTGGCATCTCCTGGATCCTAATGCTGCTCTGAAAACTGCAAAAGGCAAGAGGCGGATTGCCTTGAAAGGGCACCTATAAATGCAGAAATAAATTCATGGCATTGTGCATTTTTCATGTTTTGTCTCCAAAATAAAAAATTCCCCATGTTTAAAAATTAGAAACGAGTCTTAAACTAATTCAGGTAATTTCAATGATCATGGTTCCATTGCAAGAGATTTGGCTTTTCGCACCTTCATTTCTAAAAATATTTGGATTTAATTTTAAACTAGGTTGCTTTAAAAATCAATACTGAAATTTCAAACTAAGTTATCCATCATGTTGCATATGCATTGCTTTAACATGATTAGAGCAGTCCTGTAATACAGGTATCTTTGTCTCAGCTCTAAAGCTGAGTCTTAGAGAGAGCAACTTGCCTAAAAGCCATACTAAAAGAGGTGACAGGAGATCCACAATTGGAACACCCATTGTTTGTTTGTATGTTTACCAAAAGCAGTTTTGCTGGGGCCCAAATCAGACTGAGACTGGACTCAGATGGCTTAACCCATTCCTCCATAGTATTTTTCTCTGAAGTATAAAAGCAGGATGGAGAAAAGTATTAAAAGATCTTTCCTTTAGTGTCATAACACAATCCACTACCACTACTCCTTTTAATTTCCCTTTTTTGAGTCACAGAAGATCCTGAATAGAATTATCGTGCACAGTATTACTCTGGCCCTCATAGCAGAACTTATTGCTGTGGGGTCCATTTCAATCAGAGGAGAAAGGGCTTGGTCGTTCATCAAGAAAAGGATGGTTTACAGCCAGTAAAACTCTTAAGGTGAAATTCTTTGCATGTTTAAACAGAAAAGAATTCTACATCCCGGAATGGCCCAGCTACTGATGCTGGCTTGTTCATGGTGGGAGTTGTAGGACATTTTTCCATTTCAGCATGCATAGGATTGTGCCTTTCACTTCTTTTCCTCTGTTCCTTGATTATCTAAAAGATATTTCATTTATACATGTTGCTAGCGCCTTTATAGGCAAATGCAAGGTCTCTCTCTAAGCTTTAGTTTTTAGTGCTGCTAAAGGATTCTCCATTTTCATTTCAGGAAGGCCATGGTGATGGTGACTCCAGTTCATCTTGCAGAAGAAGACTTCAAAATCACTCTCTTAGAGCTCCGAAATTTGATGGAACTACGAAAGAGCAACGCAGTCAAAAAAATAAAGGAAATGTATGGTGACATTTTTGAAATCTGTAAGAGGCTGCAGACGTCACCTACAAATGGGATATCTGCTTCCCAGTCAGAATTGGAGATAAGAAAATCTGTATTTGGAAAGAACTTTATTCCCCCTAAAAAGCCCCTTACTTTCTTGGAATTAATATGGGAAGCACTGCAGGATATGACATTATGTATCTTAGAAGTTGCAGCCGTCGTATCATTGGGACTCTCATTTTATCATCCACCAGGAGGAATTGTGACAGCTTGTGAAATAGAAGATATTGGAGGAGAAGAAGAAGATGGGAAAACTGAGTGGATAGAAGGTGCTGCGATACTTTTGTCAGTAGTTTGTGTGGTGTTGGTAACTGCTTTCAATGACTGGAGTAAGGAAAAGCAATTTAGGGGGTTACAGCATCGCATTGAAAAGGAACAAATGTTTACAGTCATCCGGAAAGGGGAGTTAGCACAGGTGGCAGTGGCTGACTTAGTGGTGGGAGATATTGCACAGATCAAATATGGTGACCTTTTACCAGCTGATGGTTTGCTTCTCCAAGGGTACGATCTGAAAATTGATGAGAGTTCCCTTACAGGGGAATCAGATCATGTCAAGAAGTCTTTGACTGAGGACCCTATGCTGCTTTCAGGTACCCATGTGATGGAAGGCTCTGGAAAGATGGTTATTACAGCTGTAGGTATACATTCACAAACAGGAATTATCCTCACTCTACTTGGAATGGGGGAGGAGGATGAGAAAGCAAAACAGACAGACCCAAAACCAAAAAAGAGGGGCGGCAAGATGCCTGAAACTTCCAGAAATGAAACAAATGCCGTTCAACAACAGTCAAAGAAACATGTGTCCCACAAAAAAGAAAAATCAGTTCTGCAAGCAAAACTCACGAGATTAGCTGTTCAGATTGGCAAAGCAGGGTTGGCAATGTCTATAATCACTGTTACTGTCCTTATTGTCTATTTTTTAGTTCAAAATTTTTTGATAAATAAGCGGGTTTGGACTATTGAATGCACACCAGTTTACATGCAATATATGGTGAAGTTCTTTATTATTGGTGTTACGATCTTGGTAGTAGCGGTGCCAGAGGGCCTTCCACTTGCCGTCACCATCTCACTTGCCTACTCTGTGAAGAAAATGATGAAAGATAATAATCTAGTGAGACATTTGGATGCCTGTGAAACTATGGGTAATGCAACTGCAATTTGTTCAGATAAAACAGGAACCTTAACCATGAACAGAATGACAGTAGTTCAGATCTTCATTGGTGGCACACATTATCAAGAGGTTCCTGCTTCTGATTTAATTCACGCAACCATGTTGAAATATCTGCTTAAAAGTATTTCTATAAACTGTGCTTATACTTCTAAAATCCTACCTCCTGAACAAGAGGGAGGCCTGCCCCGTCATATTGGCAATAAAACCGAATGTGCTTTACTTGGCTTGCTTTTGGAATTAGATCAGGATTATGAGGCTGAAAGGACTAGAATGCCTGAAGAAAAACTGCATAAAGTGTACACTTTCAATTCCAACAGGAAATCTATGACCACAGTTTTGAAAAATGCTGATGGTAGCTATCAACTCTTCAGCAAAGGTGCTTCTGAAATAATCCTTCAAAAATGCAGCCGACTGTTGAATTCAGCTGGGGTACCTGCCCCCTTTTCCAAAAAAGACCGGGAAAATGTGATGAAAAATGTGATTGCACCAATGGCCTCCGAGGGACTTCGAACCATATGTCTAGCTTTTAAAGATATCCCAGCTAGCCATTCAGAACCAAAATGGGATAACGAGGATGCCATTATCAAGGACCTGACATGTATTGGAATTGTAGGTATTGAAGACCCTGTAAGACCCGAGGTTCCCAGTGCAATAAGAAGATGTCAGAATGCTGGTATTGTCGTGCGGATGGTCACTGGGGATAACATTAACACTGCCCGCGCAATTGCTGCAAAATGTGGCATCCTGCGGCCTGGGGAGAACTTTGTGTGCTTGGAGGGGTCGGATTTTAATAGACTGATACGTGGTCCAGACGGAGAGATTAAGCAAGAGCTTCTTGACAGGATCTGGCCGACGCTTTGCGTGCTAGCAAGGTCCTCACCTTCTGACAAGTACAACTTAGTGGAAGGGATCATTAATAGTAATATCACAGAAGAAAGGCAAGTGGTGGCTGTCACGGGCGATGGCACCAATGATGGGCCTGCATTGAAAAAGGCCGATGTCGGCTTTGCCATGGGCATTGCTGGAACAGATGTAGCCAAAGAAGCTTCGGATATCATTCTTACAGATGACAACTTCTCGAGCATTGTTAAAGCAGTAATGTGGGGCAGGAATGTATATGACAGCATTTCCAAATTCCTCCAGTTTCAGCTTACTGTCAATGTTGTAGCAGTAATAGTTGCTTTTACTGGTGCCTGCATTACCCAGAATTCCCCTCTCAAAGCTGTTCAGATGCTGTGGGTCAACCTCATAATGGATACATTTGCTTCTCTTGCTCTAGCCACCGAAAAGCCAACAGAAGCCCTATTAAAACGAAAGCCGTATGGCAGAAACAAACCACTGATCTCCCGTACGATGCTGAAAAATATTTTGTTCCATGCTTTTTATCAGCTTGCAGTTGTCTTTGTGCTTCTGTTTGCAGGTGAAAAATTATTTGATGTTGACAACGGACGAATTGCACCACTGAGGTCTCCACCCACCCAGCATTACACTATTGTGTTTAACACATTTGTAATGATGCAGATTTTTAATGAAGTCAATGCACGAAAGATTCATGGGGAAAGGAATGTTTTTTCTGGAATTTTCACAAATACCATTTTCTGTTGTGTCACTTTGGGAACACTGATTGTACAGGTCATCATTGTCCAAGTGGGAGGCAAGCCTTTTAGCTGTGTAAAGCTTACACTAGAGCAATGGTTGTGGTCCATCTTCTTTGGCCTTGGGACATTACTATGGGGACAATTAGTAATTAGTATTCCAAACCGATATCTGATCTGCCTGAGGGATGTGGGCGGGGAGCCACCAAAAGAGGAAATTGTTGAAGAACTAGCTGGAGAGTCAGCGGAGATTGACCTCGGAGAGCAGGAACTGCGTCGTAGTCAGATTTTATGGTTTAGGGGTTTGAGCAGAATACAAGCACAATGCAGAGTTGTCAGAGCCTTCCAGGCTCCTTTGTATAAGGAAGTACAAGGAGGAACTAGTACTAAAACGATCTAGCAGATCATGAGTTTAGAATTTGGACATCTTCATGGTTTGTTATTGAATTTAGATCTTTAAAAAGAGCAATGTGCATATAAGCATTATTACTAAATGAATGGCTTTTTCCTTATAGCTGTCTGTCACTTGGACACATTTTTGAAACTGTTTAACAAAATAGAGACACTTTTTTAGAAGATATGTGGGAAAATGTAAGAAATCAAAATAAGAGTCCAATTGAAACTTTCTTCGTATATGGGTCTGGGCATTATGTTAGCAGACCTTAATTGAATCTTGGGCCTTTAGATTTATTTTTGCAAGGGGTATCTTTAGAAGAAGAGAGTGAGTGATGAAACCAAAAGCCACCTCTTGAATACCAGATTTTTTATATATTTATTGATTAAAAGGTGATATAAATAATAGCAGATAAACTGTACATAGTCTTTTACTTTTGACCCTGTTTATGCTTATAACCAGTATCAACTGGCTGAACTGCCTTAGGCCATTGATCATCTGTTTGACAATGTGCTATTTTTTGTAAGTATTTTGAATCTTTCTTTAGCTGCTGGGCTATGAATCTGAAGGGAGTGAATATAGATCTGGCTACAAGTAGGCTAAGCTTATTTACATTTTGTTCTTGATGGTTGCTTATAAGCAAAGATTACTGAATAATAAAAATGCTAAAACATTCTTTATCCTTGTTGTGTAATTGAAGGGAAGCAACACAAAAAATCCAAAGGATTGTGCCAAAAGAACAGTTTGTTACACTATAATATTTTCTACGCAAGGGTGTTAATCAGCTGTTAATCTACTGTCTCTGCTTTCGGTTTCATCACAGAATTGAGATCTAAGCACTACACAAAAAGTGTTTGCTTTCCTGCTTTTCCACTACATAACCTCTAGGTGGCACTGTGGTATAGTTACATAGTGCAAATACACAAAAGGAAATCACAATCAAATGCCACATTTAATTGTGATGTAGAAAAGAAAAATCACTGAACACGCTGATGAGAGACAGAAGTGAAATTGGCAGATCACAGTATCTGGAAGCATCCAAAGAACCTGGAAACAATGGAAAGTGGGGGATTATGGGCATGTGATCAATGCCTCTCATAGAAAAGCTAATAGAGAGACATTGGAAACCAACCATTCCTTCATCCAACATGCTCTCATTTTTTAAAATTGCCTTAAAGATGACTATCAGGAATAGATATGCTGTAAAAGTTCCAGTGGACAACTCTTCTTTTAGCCTACCCCTTGAAGATCTTTGGGATTCTACATTTCATCTTTGACCAAGACCCCATTAACTTAATATTTCTTAGATTGGAAGAAGTTGCACAAATATAACTTTTTCCATTGTACTGTACAGTGACAATAACAGGTAATGCCAAGCTTCTAAAATTCTAGTATCTAGCCAATTTTAAAGGGTCTGTCTAAGATGGAATCCAGCAATTCTCCAGTCATCTTCAGTGATATCCCCAGACTAAGTAGTCATTACCTAGTTTTCACACATTACATAGCAACAGATCTCAACTGAAGCTGCAGCCAATCCTTGCCTCTGTAATGAGCTTCCCTATAAGAGTATGTTGATATTTTTTGCATTCATTGCTTTGTATGGTCAGCAATAAGCTTCTCAAAGTATACAATAATGTATGACATCACTCTAAATTGTTATAGATATCACTTTTACCAGCAGGCTGGATTACCTGTCTCCCAAAACCTGAAGCAGGGAGATCCTCTGGAATGTTGGAGTAATAGATCCTCCGATTACATGATTCCAGATCCTGACTCTCTCCCAAGATCACAGCAATGTTCTCAGAAGACAAACCACAGCTGAGCTTTCTGCGGTGGTTGTGAGGGCTGGAGAAACTGCTCTAGCAGGGTCTATGACCCGGGGAGAGAAAATCCACTGTATCCTACTATCCATGAATAGCATTCCAGAAACTTTATGTGCTTTATTACAAAAATGGAAGATGAAATTATTAATAACAGGTAAGATAAACAATCAAAGAGGACAAACATTCCACACTCACCAAAGGGCCTTGTAGAAATATTGGCACTCATGCCTTTGAGGTACTGAACATTGTGAATGTTCAACTTTTTTATTATTGTTGCGCAAAACTTAAGTAAACAAAAAAGAACGGGTGCTTGATGACTGCATATGTAATCACCCCCTTTGATATGCCATGCTTAGCTCTGGTGAACCCACTGCCTCCAGAAATCACATATTGTAAGGAGTTGAATGCGTCCACCTGCGTCCAATTCTGCTGCCACATCTCAGATTAAATGGACCTCTTTCTGGGAGGCCCCAGAGTTTGTTAGAGAGCTAATATCTAAACAAATAGCCTCATGAAGACTAAGTAGCTAATGAAAAGACTTTCGGATTTAGTTGCACAGAAGCACCAATTGGGATTGGTTTATTTAAGAAAACATCCCAAACTGTGTACATCTTCCTGAGCACTGTTCGATCCATTTTCACAGAATGTAAAAAAATGTGATTCAACCACAACTCTCCCTTGGGAAGGTTGTCCACAAAAACTCAGTGACAGGAGGAGGGCATTGCTCAGAGAAGCAACCCAGAAGCCAGTCATAACTCTGAAGGAGCTGGACAGATCCACAGATGAGATGGGAGAACCATCCATGGGAGAACCATCACCTGGATGCTCCACAAAGCTGGGCTTTATGGAAAAGTGGAAAGAAGAAAGCCATTGTTGAAAGAAACCCATCACAAAGCCTGTCTGACATTTATAAAAAGAAATGTAGGAGGCAGAACAAATATGTGGAAAAAGATTCTTGGATCTGATGATGACCAGAACTGAACTTTTTGGTCTTGCTGCAAAATACACTGGGTGGCACAAAGTCCACAGTGCCCATTGTCCTGAGAATGTGTCTGAGTGTACATACACGTGGGACAGAAGGAGAGAAATGGACGGATTGGAGCCACCAATGTCAAGGGTGGTAGTACCCTCTCCTGGCCAAAAAGTGAAGTATTCAGCTGGAGTAACATCTTTATTGTCACCATGACTCAAAATTGCACAGTACCTTAAAAAAATAGTTGTACTATTTCAGTATAATAGAATTGTGATAATAAACCAGAGTGCCTCAGGGCAAAATAATTCCTGTGTCTATCCGTGCACACACACGATTACTAGACGCAGAGCCATTTCAGCCTTGCACTGCAAATTCTTTCTCTTGATCAAAAATAGCTCTGGTAGCAGTCCTCAACTAATTAATTGCTTCCTGAAATTAGATGTCCTTAGCCCCACACTTTAATTAGCTCTTGAACTGAGGAATTTAGCTATGCCCCTGGTCTTTTTTTAATGAGTTTATGTCTTGTTTTGGTACTGCTTCGTATGCTCATTCAAAACATCCAAGTAAATGCACCATCCTTACAGACACAATTGGATTGTAGTACAATTCTAATCAGTTAGAAGTACAGGACCAACAGAAATAGTTGGTCCTGGTGGCCTTAGTAACTAAACTATGTGCTGACTTAAAGATACAATAGAATCAAAAGTACAAAAGAGTGCTCTTTCTCATCTGGGAAGTGTTGGAAGGTATGAGATAGGATACAGCAGAAACTGGAAGAGACAGAAATCACATCATCCTACTTAGAGAAAGGAACTTAGCATGAAGTTTACCTGGCATATAAATCTATTACAAGGAATGGTTTAATCAGTTTAATCAGAAAGTTTAATCAGACTTAAATTTGTTAAAAATTTTCCTTCATTACTGAACCAAATGGAGAAAAGCATACCTTTGTAGAAGCCTGAGTAATAATAAAGGCACTTAAGCATAGAAATGTTATTTTTTTAAAATCCATTATTAATATTTAAATCTTGAGAAAAAAGCTTTTTATGAGTTCCTTTGTCTTATAAAATCTCAGTAAAAGGAGTGTATTAATAATGCATTTTAACCTGTCTGGCAGTCGTTCAAATAATGATAAAGTTCAGTTCTGATCTTAAATGTTTTAGTTGATTAAATTAAATGGCGGCAGCAGCTTTTCCTTATAATTTAATCATAACAGAAACACAGTTATAGACATGTTTCTGATAGTTTTGGCTCTATGAATATAGAAACAAATGAATAAAGCAGAACAAGTAAAAATTGTTCAGAAACAATTTGGCCAAAACTTCATTTTTACATGCTGGGGAGAAATGCTCCTCAGCAAAGCCACAAAAATCCAGAGTAGCATGATTCCTCTCTTTTATTCATTTAGTGTGAGCGGATCACCAGTACTATTCTCCAAAGCTATGCTATGCTCCACTATGAAAATATGGGCAGAAGAAACAGGTATACAAATCTGTGGATTCACAAAAATGGAGAATGGAAGAAGAAAAAGGGGAAATGAGATAATGTTTCTTCATCATCCACTCATCTACACATTCTTGCCTTCATCCAACTAGAGTAGCCATATGTCCAGTACTGGAAGGCTACCAGACAACTATTCTCTAGTTTGAAGGTGTTCTCTTTCTCAAGGGTTGTCCCTTGATGAAGTACCATCAGAAGAAAGCTGGGCATAAGACTAAGCAAGACTCGTGTCACCCAGTCACAGCCTTCCATCCTGTGATAAGATGTCCAGTTTGTATATTTAGATTCTAATATTAATAATGAGTAAATTTGCATCTTTACATGTAAAGAAACATTTACAAATTTAAACAAGTATGTCCCCTTTTGTTGTCCTTTTGGTGAAGCATTTCCTCACATGCAGAAACTATCTAGGAGCCATACATGTAGACTGGATCAGCATTAATATGGATTTTCCATTGTTTATGCCACCAGTTGCATTGAAGCATTTTTATTTTTATTTATTTATTTATTAAAACATTTTTATGCCGCCCCATTCGCCGAAGCCTCGGGGCGGCTTACAACACTAGATAAAACAATAAGTTAAAATATCCATATAAAATAAAATTTTATAAGAGCATACTTTCTGACAGGGAATGTTTTACAACAAAAGCAATGCATTGTGTGTAGATTCTGCATCTGTGCAGAAGCTACATACTTTTTTTAACTTCATTTAGAGCAGTTGTTATTTTAACGGTAAGTAATTGATAACTAGCTGTAATTGTTTTCAAATGTACTAGTTCAAGCTTTCCAGTAAAAAAGTAACATAATTATAAAGATGATAAATGAACCACAGGTTAAACTTAATTTGAATGAAAATTGGGCTAGGCAGAGGTATATAGGTTAGCTTTGTCTGGCACTTTTGAAGAGAAGAAAAAATCTTCTTCAAAAATTTTATTAATTTTCAGGGAGGAGTACTGTCAAGCAGGGTAGACTTACTTTTAAAGTGGAGGCACAGATATTTGTTACAATTTTACTACTGTTAATAAGCTGCCATTCCAAGCAGTGTTTTGGCTGTACTCAGGAGTGCAAATGCTTCCTGGAAGGCCAAGTTAGCCTTTTATTTTTAAAATGCCTTAAAATAAGCATGTAAATAAATAATCCTTAGCCAACTTAACTAAAAATAAGTCTGCCCCTCATCTAA